TTTATACCATGTTGTCTTCACATCGAGAGGGACATTTGCATTTAATGCATTGTACATGCGTGTTCAAGCGTTTATTTCGCGCACGCACATGTATTTTTTAACACCCAATTTTAACGTGATTTAACGAAAAAAAGATATTGTTGAGAATTGATATGGCGTTCGAGGCTGTTGCATCAATTTTTGTAATCGATGATTCATTGCCGAATCGCTCTCTAATCTCAGATTGAATTTCGTGCAAGGTCAACGATGTCGTTCTTCATGCTCCGATCTATCTGCGAAGCTATTCATGCGTCTATGGAAATTTTTACGAAGGTATTCGCGAAAATCCCTTCTCCTATCGATCGATCCTGCTCAGAAATTGCGAACTCCCAAATTGGTTCTCGGACAAGATAGGTATTTTCCGCCGCGTTAAACACGTGAAAAGCAACGCGCAATTTAAATTTGTTTTCATGAAAGTCCCAGCACTCGTGACCAGTCCCTAACGAGCTTGTAATCCGTAATAGCTCGTAATTTCATAGTTATTATTCTCGTAACGAGACCGCCGAACCTGCACCTCTGTTCGGCTGACAAATTTATTGTCGGTATACATACAGAATGTCTCTCACGTTATCGCGTTCAACCGTTTGAACCGTAACAGTCATCCGCTTGACATTCGCATATCTTTGCGCGGGGACGTTGCATCGATAGGGCGCGTATAATTCGAATATTATGCCAATATTGTGTCAGGCTGCATCGCTAACTCCTTCCACTCGTGACGATTTATGTTACGAATATTATAGCGTCATGTATTCCCATTTCATCCGTTTTGTCTTCACATCGAGAGGAACATTTGCATTTAATGCATTGTACATGCGTGTTCAAGCGTTTATTTCGCGCACGCACATGTATTTTTTAACACCCAATTTTAACGTGATTTAACGAAAAAAAGATATTGTTGAGAATTGATATGGCGTTCGAGGCCGTTGCATCAATTTTTGTAATCGATGATTCATTGCCGAATCGCTCTCTAATCTCAGATTGAATTTCGTGCAAGGTCAACGATGTCGTTCTTCATGCTCCGATCTATCTGCGAAGCTATTCATGCGTCTATGGAAATTTTTACGAAGGTATTCGCGAAAATCCCTTCTCCTATCGATCGATCCTGCTCAGAAATTGCGAACTCCCAAATTGGTTCTCGGACAAGATAGGTATTTTCCGCCGCGTTAAACACGTGAAAAGCAACGCGCAATTTAAATTTGTTTTCATGAAAGTCCCAGCACGAGATTTTTTTTTCACTTAAATAATATAAAGATCTTGGTTGCGATAAGAAAGTGCCCTGCTGCAAACGACGTAATCTATAGCGAATTTCCGTCGTCAAACTTCTTTAATGGATCTTAAAGTGCTCTCGGAAGAGAGTTGTACCTTCTGACGACGAGTCGTATATGAACTGGACGTTATCGAAAAAGCAGGTCATAAAAAGAATCTATTCATCCAAGGCAAATAATAGACACGCAAGTGGAAGATTTTTAAACTCGCTGCTAATAGCAGCGAAGCGTGCGTATTTTTGACAAAGATTCTTTAAATGTCTCTAATGGATGAGAACTTAAACTCGCGTCTGACTACTTAAAGTTTTATGCTATTCATCACGGTCGGATTTTTTACTGATTTTTTTTTGTAGCTTGTAACTTTCTTTAAGGATATAAAGGCTAACATCAGTAGCTGTCATCTTGTACAATATTGGATTGATAAGAGAAATTAATTTTAATTTATTAATCTTTTTTTAAGAGAGAGAAAGACATTATTATTTTAACTTCACGTATTTTGTTTGTTTAATGCATGATTACAGATAATATAAACTACAATTTTATATATAAAATATTTTAAATAACAGAGAATACGTTGATAAGATTGATATAAATATAGAATATTTAATATTGATTTATTAATTAATGGTTATTCAGTTTACAAAGTGTTAAATGTTATCGGATATATTGAAAAATCAGAAAGAATAAAAATCATATTTTTTACAAATCTATAAAATATATAATCGAAGAGAAAATTTTTCACAAAAATTTGTAATAAATTTTATTTTAATTTAACAAAGATATCACAAAACTCTTAATATCTAAAATTTATTTAATCACAAGCGCGCGTAACTTACGACGCAAGTTGCATAAATTGATAGTATGAAAAGCGGAAATTATTCTTTCATCATTGCAATACGAGCAAACAAATGGAATGTTGTATGGGAAGCGGCGAACAATACAAAGGAAAGGTTGATGTTCGTTAGGCGCGGCCTTTACGAAGCGCTGGATTATTTCTGCATGCGAATATGGCAGAAATAGGACGAGCGTGGATGTGCGAATTTTACAGCACGCTGGGCCACCCTCTGTGTTGAAAAGAGAAGCGGGAAACCGGAGAATATTGTCGGATGAGATTACGTTTTTTCGTCGACGGTTTTCCCCGACATATACAGCATAATAAACACTTGAAATGCTTTCAGCTCTTAATCAGCTTCGACAAGCAGTCGCACTTTGGTTAGTTAATTTATATTATGCACAAGGCGTGTCTGATAAGCAAGATAATGACGCAAACGTTATTCCAGATCGCGCGCGCGTTATTACGTTTACAGAAATTAAAGGACAAGTGTATATACATATACGTGAACTAATTAAAACTTGATTATAATTATTTCTCATATGTCGATAAATATATGTTCATATTTAACGGAATTAATATTTTATATCGATAACATTTTGTTAAAAAAAAAAAAAAAGAAAATACAAGGTAAACGTTTTTACACGTGTATTATCGTATGCACACTTTACATTCAATCCGGCACGATTTACTTCATTTTCGAGATCAAAGCGGAGGAACGTGAGCAACGGTGTATAACGTGACATGTACGTGACTCGTCGATAGAATACGTTGGTACGCATTATTGATGTAGCCGCAAACTTCACGTGAAGATACGTGGTTTAATAAAGTTGAGCTTGTAACGATTGTATTTCGCGGTATTCCTTGGCGTACGCAACTTTTTATTATACTGGGTCAGCCAGTCAGTCGAGTTAACAAATTGGCAGGTATTAAAGTGCAAAAGCAAATAGGCCGTGACAACTAAGCTGTCAGATTCTATTCATAGTGCCTCTGTCTATATCCGACATAGTTTCCTCTCACTGGGGAAACTATCTATCAATGACACAATTCAAAAATATGGATTTTGTTTAGCCTATGTTTCCGATTTTTGTGTAAAATCTACAAACTGGCTAAGTTTATTAATCCAACTGGTTTTATTATAAATTTACATATAGTCGATTTTTTAGAAAATTTTGATGTTTATTTTTTAAATTTGATTAATCAATCGATCAATTAAATCAATTTATCAATTAAAAATATAAGTTGGGAAAGATGGTAATGAAAATTATAAAATATATATAATAGCATTTTGAATTTAACAATAATGTCTATTATTATTATTTGTTAATTTAATTGGTTTTATTTTTAAATTTACATAAGTCGATTTTTTAGAAAATTTTAATATTTAATAATCAATTAAGAAAATAAGTTGGGGAAGATGGTAATGAAAATTATAAAATATAAAATAAGATAAAATATATATAATAGCGTTTTGAATTTAACAATGATGTCTGTTATTATTATTTATTAATTCAACTGATTTCATTTTTAAATTTATTTAATACATAGTCGATTTTTTAGAAAATTTTAATATTTAATAATCAATTAAAAAAATTAATTGAAAAAGATGGTAATAAAAAATAAAAAATAAAACAAAATATATATAATCGCGTTTTGAATATATAACAAAATGATGTCTATTATCATTATTTATTACAATACAATTGGCTTTAGAAATGTTTTCTTTGAGAAAGTGGAAAATCGTTGATTTAGAATCGCAGACCTGACATTATTGCCTTATAGAAAAGTTTGTTTTAAACCGATTTACTCCTACGTGGTGTTTATTAATTGAATTTGTTTGCGCACTTATCAGTAGCGAGGACAAAAGTCTATGTAAAGGCCTGCGAAATTTATCGTCGACGACGCAAGTCACTTGGAAATATTTATGTTAAAATACAATCGCCCTTCTCGCATTTTCACTCGAATAACTCGCCGTCCATTAACGACGCGACAATTTTCACGGCGGAATTATCGAGGAACACGTTAGTTTTTACTCGATGAACAGACCATTCTCCAGTTTGGTGTAAAGCAGCGACGTAAATATTAGACTCGATCATAAATACGGCAGCGCTACCGCAACTTTTTACTGAATGATTAAACACAAGTCCGCGGTTGTAGACGTCGCGTCGTCGCTTTCGCTATCGAATCGAGCTCTCGTTCAACGGAAACAAAGCCACGTGGAAGCGTGGAAAGCGCGGTGTACTCGTCGTTTCCGACAGGCAAAGTTTGTACGATAGCGGAATGGATTAAACGCGTTTTATCGAATGCAGGGGAGAGTACATCGTTGCGACGTACATATTGAACGACCGCACGATCGATGCGCGTTTAGCGTGCAGACAGAGGGAATGTAAAGAGAAACAGAGATACAAACAGACAGACAGAGGGAGAGATAGAAAATCGTTCAAATATGCTGGAGGCTGCGGTGTGGATCGTCAAAATAATGCGATAGGTCAGCCGGAAAAACAAAAAAGGTCCCCCCATTCCCTTCCATCGTCTTTTGGAAGAGACCTGCGATCCTTTCACCAGCTCGCGCGGAAGAATTCGCGATTTGGAAGACCCATTTTTAGAAAAAGAGAACACGCCGAAGGGAACACGCCGTTCGTCAAGAATACTCGCCGAGAGCGTTAGGAGCGATTTAATTCCGTGTTCACTCGAGCACGGAAATTCCGTGAACGCGCAAAAATTTATGGATCCCGCGATCAAGCGCAGGTTTCCATATACGATACGATCCGCGGGCGATGCGAATCCACACACGTTTGCACACGACAGTATGATAAACGGGCCGATATACGATGGCGCGGCTATGGCGGGTTATTACTACTTACAGTACGTGTCGGTGGTGAGTCGATCGATGGTATCCTGCTTGAGCTTGCTGTTCTTCTTACCCATCTTCGTAGCCTCGTGCTGTGCGTTAACCTAACGCGTGTGCGATTTCTTGAACAGTTGAATCGCCGACCTTTTTGCCTCACGTTGTGAGAAAAACTCTTTCTCTCTCTCTCTCTCTCTCTCTCTGATTAAAAAATCTCACCGTCCAGTTCGCATCTCCCGATTCCGAATCGCGGTTGACGGATCAAAGATAAAGTTTGAATCTCAGTGATTGTTCGAGGGACCGGAAATGACAGCGTCACCACCGGCACGGAAGAAACGAAGAAAGAATTCGCACGAAGAAGTTTCTAGAAACGCGAAGCGTGAGTCTTCCCTCAAACGCGGGTTCTTCGGCTCCTCCTTTGAGATCGCGAAGATGCCCTATCAGATTTCACCGGATAAGTTTCCTGTTTGTAACTTTCTCCCCCGTTGAGCCGAGCCGGTCGCCCTCCGTCTCGAGAGAAGTTCGCCTGTGGATTTCAATTTGGAGATGTGTTTTGCAGGAAGGCGCGAAACTTTCTTCGATCTCGAGAACGGGAGGATCGAATCGCGAACGATGGAATTTGATTTAATTTCCTCCGGGGAGAGTGCGTATTTAATCGATTTAATTACAACGCGGGATCACTCGTATCGTCTTATTCCTACGGAGTCAATTCGTTGATATGCCTCCCACGTAGATTTTCTTTTCGATGATATTGCTTTTTCTGTGGAGAAGAACAAGGGAGAAATTTAATGAAAACGCGAGTTCTCTCTCCCGCGAATCGTAGTTAAACTTTTCATTTGTCACTCGATGCGCTCGCGATATTTTCAATCAGAACTAAAAATTCGAGGCTTGACTTTGTTCGAATTAAGGGAGGGAGGGGGGGGGGGGGGATAATTTCCCGGTTGCGATAAATGAACTTCGCGAAATCATTCATCGCGCCTCTCTCGGTCTCTTCGAAGGAGCTTCGAGGCGCGCAGACGAGCTTCCAATTTGCAAAGATCGTATCGGAAAATTAAGAGGAACTCGGAGAAAAGACTCGGGAATTGCATCAAAACGATTATCACAATCGATAAATTTGTTTCGAACTGTTGCGACGAGGCTTAAACGGACCCGTTATATATTCATCGAGGGAAGCTTTAATCTCCGCGCGATGCGATCTTTGAATATATTCAAGTATAATGAGAATGAATCCGCAAGAATACATTGCTGTCCCAAACCGATCGTATTAAAGTTTCAAAGGTCCTAAGACCAGACAACCGATATTTTCAGGACCCGCACTAGCCAATCCCTCCTGGGCTATTATATGAGCCGGGCTTTAAAGGCCAACGGCGTTACGATATCTCCTACCTTATCCTGGGATTAAACGGAATTTCCACTAAATGTATTTCCTTAGCTCTTAGTGTCATGATTCTCTTGTTCCACCACGATCGTCTTTAATCCTATCCGCTTTTCCAATGGCACGAAAAAATATTTTATCATTTGTTACTTCGAAGCGATAGCCATTACTACAATGTTTCCTTTTCGCTTATTACACGGATTTTCCAACTGACGATAAAATAAGTAAAGTAAAAAAAAAAAAAAAAATCGAAGGTAAAATAAACTATTTAATGTAAGAAGTTTAACTGTAAAAAAATTCAGTAAAAGCGCTTTGAATATTTGCAAATTGGGTAAATTGGAAATCAATAGATTGCTTTTTTTTTATTAAATCTACGGCAAGGAATAAGCGAAAAGAGCAATCAATTTCTGTTAAAATTAAGATAACTATTCATGCTAATCTCGCGAATCAATTATGCGACGGAGGGAACTTGAACGTGGATCATATCGGCGTTATTTATCGTGAAGTCATTAACGCCGTTGAATAATGAATCCCCGCGCCTGTTTCATATCTATTCCGTAATATTCCCGCAACTCGCTCGTCGGACGAATTAATAAATCGCGATTGAAGGCGAGGAAAATTTTCAGCAAAAGGGAGAGTTCTATTCTCAAACGAAGAAAGCGACCGAGGAGAGAAAATTACGATCCGACGTACCGGATTCGGGACAAAGTCATGTCTGTTAGTCGTCGAAAACTTGGCAAAAGCTTGAGATGAATAACAATGGTCTCTCCGAGAGTACGCGAGTCGCGAGATGAAGTTACGGCAAAGTTAACTCCTCTTTTCCCTTAATACAGAGAAGATTTTATTCGCCTCTGAATAACGTATGCGGTACTTCCTGAAGAGGAAGCGAGTATCCACGAATTTAAATGCAGGTCAGTCCGGCTAATGCAAATTCATATGACATCCCCGCAAGGTTCGCGGAAGCGCGCGTGACATCCTTCGTGACGTCGCGGAAACTGATTTGTATGAGAAGGAAGGTCCTCGACGGCGATCCTATGAGAGATTCGGGAATATCGAAGGACGCGAGAGGGAGAACCTTGCCGAATGATTAACTTCCGGTCGAGGTCGTGCTACACCCTTGACCTCGCGCCGCACCGCGATGACACTCGGAGCATGCGTTTCCGCGCTTATTATTACGTCGTAACAACGAGCCCAACCGGTTGGCGGCGAAAAAGACGAAGATACCCGGGGAAGCGAGAGACGAAAGAGAGCGGAAGAGTGGGTACGCGTGCAATTTCGCGTTCTCCAGCTCTCGCGAATCCTCTGGAGAACGCTCCTGCTG